TTTATTATTTAGTATGGTACAAGAATTAAGACAGAGAAACATTCATGTTCCATTTGAAATGTTTGAAAATTTAACTTTATTACATTCTTATATACTTGCAAAGGTAGGTTATTAGTTTTGTTTACAAAATATTGTAAATAATAGCTCATTTTCCTTTGGATTTATTAAATCAAGAAAATATGTAGTTTACATTAGATAGGAACTAAAATAAATAATTTATACTGGTGTATTGTGATAAGTCAATGAAAACTACTTAATATCATGTTGCTCCCCCCACACACATTTGCTTTTCTCCAGGTCTAATTGTACGGCTAAGTTATTTAACACAATTATATGGTGCAATCCTGAATGATTAAATATATATTTGACATGGCTCCTTGAAGTTAAACTCTTTGCTTATAGATGATGAACATTAAAGGACATCTGTCACTTGAGAAGGATCTAATGATACTCTAGAAATTTGAACTTGCACCCCGTACTTCAAGAGATTTATAAATTAAGACCGACTCATGTGGAGCAAACTATGCTTGGGACAAGGATTTTTTCTTAACACCTAACACTGATGTCGGTAGTACATTTGATGACCGATAAGGTTAGGATATTAAAGTCTTTTAGGAGAGATAGGTTAGTAATATTTTTCAGTATCCTCGTCAAACAATTTTGAACGAGGTAAACTACGCAGTTATTTAAGTAGTTACAGATAAATCTGCTATTTACAATAAACTTGTAGTCTACATGCTTGTAATAGTGCATCATTTTGATAATTACTTGTTTTCATGATCAGATTCTATTCTAGCAGATATATTTATCTGAATTGTGTATAAATTTTTATTTGCCCACCAAAGCAGTTACAATGGCAGAACAAACACAAGTGCTATTTTGGATGTCCTGGAGAACATTCATGAAGAGATTTACTCGACGGTGGTCAGTAGCTCGACGTTTAGATGTTTCATGTATACAGATTATAAAGTAGACACTACTAAATCTTTTAAGGCGACCAATTAAAAAATAAGCCGTGCTCTTCTGAAGTTATTGTTAAAAAAGAAAACAGTGTTTTTATTTTTCCTTAACATGGTAACAAATCATCTACTTCTATTGTAACTTTCAAATCGTTCTTTTATTTGGTTCCTCTGTTTTAGGCACTCTTTTACTTCATAGTTCTTCTTTAAACTAACTGAGATCTACATATTTTATCATTTATCTATAATTAAGCTTTTATCCGCTACAATGTTCTTTGATTAATCACTTTAGACTTATATGTATCTTTATTGAATTTTCACGATATCTCCAGCTATTTATAATGTTATTCATAAGCTAGCAGTGGACATCTGGATTCAGTAGCAAACTACATAATGCGATCGGTGTTTCAAGCAAAAACTAATAGGTTTGAGTCCCGATATAAATATTAACACTGGCACGTAATTGCATCTAGCTAATCAGTCTCAAATACAACGAGACACGCATTCTGTATTCTGATATTAGCCACTATAAAACTTCACTAAAATTTTCATCATTTGTTCAACTTTACCTAAATCATCACTTATACTACTTATGTTTCCATATTAGTAACTTCAAAAAGTGTCCCTTTCTACTACTTATATATGTATGGTATTTTTTATGAAATGTTTATTTCTCTTGTAAGGTTCATGTTAAAAATGGTGAACATTTACTTGGCGCCAGAATGTTAATTCGTGTATCAGAGAGTATAAGTAAATTTCCTGCTCGTGAGTTACAAAAAATTTTAATAACTCATTGAAGTTTAGTGTATTAATCATAAAACATGTTGTAATCTAAGGATTTTACTTATTTCATATGGAACATATTAATTCAAAAATAAAGAGAATTCAGCGAAGAAAACCTTCTGTTCTCGGTGAAAACATTTACTTAACTTCTAGACTACTAAGACGGCATCCAACGGTGTTAATGTCTAACTTCAACTAATCCACGATATTGCGCAACCGTCTTCTATTGTCTTCGGTAACTGCCTCATAACAGTTATAAATGAGCTCCACTTATCAAGACTTCTCACTAGAACTCCAGGAAATCTGTCTTGAAGGCAGTCACTAGTTAGCACATGATAATTATCAGTAAAGGGTTGCGGACCGAGGTCTAAGATCCTGGGTTCAAATCCTGTGTATGGAATCGTAGGTGCACATTGCTGAGAAGTCCCATACTAGGACAAAACAGTCATCCAGTGCTTCCAGGTTTTCAATGTTAGTTTAACGTAGATTGATTCGTAAAATCGATTGTGAAAAAACTTAGTAGATTAGTCAATGACATTCAATTTTCCAAGATACCAGCCAGTTATAACAAACTCAATGCTTGGTATTGATATGCTTTAATTTAAATTGCTATGCCGTATTAGCGTATTAAAATGAAATTATCAGGGAAAATGCCAGAGTGGTAGAAGTAGTGATAGTATCAGTGGTAGTTATAGTTTTGACTCGAATTCCGATAGTTATCAAAATAATTGATTCTCGATTTCGTCTTACCATTATCCATTTTTTAGATATTGTTCCAATTTTAACAAGTACTGTTATTGAATGTCAAAAAGCTGGTTTAAAATCAACAAGTTTTAGTTATGCCGCAATGTTATTACGTCCTGAATATCGTGATAAATTAGACGTAAAATATCGCCGTAAATTTGAAACACTTGTACGTAGAACTGATTTAAAAACTGATAATGTTGGAGTTTCGTCAAGTGATAATGGTTCAATATTAAATCAAACGAATTATTCTGTTACTGAAACATCTACACCATGTCCATCATGTGGATCACCTTTACTAGAGACTAGTTTATACTGTACTGAATGCAGAAGTACTATACCATATTGTGTGATCACAGTAAGTTCAATTGTAACTTGAGAATATATACTATGTGAAGTGAACTTTTCTGTTATATAAATAAATATAATTTTGTTGAATCTTATTCTCAATAAAAATGAACTACATAGATCTCTTGAGAATAATCTCACAACCTTATATTTCAACGCTGTATTGTGGTGTGCGCTTCCTATTTTGACAGATATAAGTGGTATTTGACACCAATCGGATGTGGAATGCCTGCCAGCATATGATTAAACTGAAGAGAACTGGAAGAAAAACGGAGAGCAATAAGAATAACAACAGAATTAGAAAAATGACGAAATAAACCGTAGGAATATATGCAAATGATGTATTGCATATCTGATCTTTATATGTAGCAAAGTCACAGTGTGATTTTGAATGAAATAATAAATTGGTTTTACTTCCATTCACTACAGTATCAGTCTACGTTCTAAACAACCAAATAACTTCGTAACAATTGAACTCGCTAGCAAATAGCTGTATAACATTGATTCAGAAGAAAGCTGGTTGTTTTCATATTGTCTCAATGAGTATTTTATTTGATAAACAAAAGATCATTTTAGATAACACGAAACAATGATAGTTAATACATTATTCGATTGTTAAAGAATCACTGTTACAGAGAAAATCCAAGTAATCGCTTTCATCAGTATAGAGTGGTAGAGATTGTTCAGTTTTGTTTAAGATCATGATCCGATCACTGTTAGGTCTCCACTGAAAACCTGAAAACATTGAATGTACATTTTGTCCTAGTATAAGACTTCTGAACAGTGCGCATCTACAATCCTTCACATGGGATTCAAATCCTTCGGTCTCGCGCACGAACATTTAACCTGTAAACCACGAAACGGCCGTCCAGTGCTTCTTTGTTTTAAATAGTGGTCTAATATCGATCGATTTATGGTCTTAATCATAATCACCTTTATTTATAGTAATAAAAATTTTGTTAGATACTATGTCAATAATTCTTTCAAATTATAATTGTCAACTTAATAAGTTAATTAACATCGACCAAATTGATATTATAATCAGAGAGAGGTTTTGTGGATATTATAGCAATTTAATAGTTGAATTATTGAGTCAATTAGTTTAGACCACCATGAAAAACCTGGAAGCATTGGACTACCATTTTGTTCTAGCATAGAACTTCTCAGCAGTGCGCATCCACGATTCCACCCGCAAAGACTCGAACCCAGGACCTATCAGTCTCGCGCGCGGGCGCTTAACATCAAAACCACTGACCCGGCATCCAGCTGTGTTAATGTCTAACTTCAACCAATCCACGACGTTGCACCACCGTCCACCATTGTCATAGGTGAGTTACTATCTCAGTTATTAGTTGTATATCAACCTGAAAAAAGTTTTTTCTAAGTGAAATTAATCAATTTAAACTGATTCAACAATAAATTTAATTTTTTATTTTATTAATATAATTAAAATGTTATCTTTTTTAAAAGGGTTATCATGTTGTAAAAAATGATTTTGCCACATGTCCTGGATGCCAATTTCCTGCATTATACAGTGAACTTATGAAGTAAGTTCAATTACATTATAAAAGGACGAATATTTCAAAAGTTGGAACTGGTTTTTTTAAAAATTATTATTAACTATAACTTTGTTGTATAATTACTGAATAACTGGATTACTTTGTATACACATTACATTTATCTTAATCTTTCGATTAGCCTATCAACTACGGCCATATGATTTACCATTCCTAGTCAATTAATTGTTCATACACAACTGTTATTTTTCATTATATGGTGTATTGTAGTCTGGCATATTTGTATATAAACCACGTCTGTTTGAAATATAAATATCCTAGAGGCTGTTTGCTACTTCTTGGATCAAGGCAAGACAAAGATATGATCTGTTTATGATCATAAAAGCTTAGCTTTTAGCTGAAAATCATTATTCCTAGTCAGGCGTGTAATTAATCAACTTGGGGACATTAAGTTGTCGAGGTAATAGTAGACGTGAAATAGGCCAAATTAAAATCAGAATCCTGATTAGTAAATCTGTAAGTGGTATTTTTCAGCGGTTTCTAATCATGACAAGTTAACTTATCGTTTTATGTAAATTTACTTTGTATAGGATTCGTTTTCTTTGTTCATTTAGAGATTCATTCAAGTCTTCAGTGTAACATTGTATGTATTAAACCATTTCAGTTGTAAGACCTAAAAGTAGTTTAGTCATTCATCTGTGGACCTTTCGGTGCACACTTCTATGAACTCACAGACAATAACAAAACACTAGTTTGGTGCGCTTTTAGTTTTTTTCAGTTTCTCAGCTGATCTCAGTTTGTATGATTTAAAAGCCATGGCAAAATTACCTTTTGGACAAATGATTTATTGTCACTGCTGAGAAGTCCCACAATAGAACGAAACGGCCGTCCAGTACTTCCAGGTATTCCATGGTGGTCTAGTTTCAATTGACTCATGATCTCAACTATTGACATTATTAAATTGTTTTATACTAATTAAATTGTCACTATTGGAAACATTATAAGTTTCATTTATACTATACAAATACTTTTTTTGGGTTGCTTGTAGATATGTTGAAAACTATCCAACACCAATTTGTCCAATGTGTAATATTCATTTGACACGTGACAGTATTCGACGTCTAATTGACTCAAATGATATCTTAAATGAATGGATTAATTCATTGAATGTTGATATATGTGAGGATGAATCAAATGAGAAGAAGAATATAGAGTTGAATAAATAAACAATATTAATGTGATAAAGTAATGAGAATATTTATTTCAATGATTTAAAATAATAGTTTTTTTTCTCATTATAATAACAAAAATAAATTTTAAAAAATGATTATCATTTACTGTTCTAAAATGGAAAAATTCTTTCTTCATAACAGAAATTTCGGGTTTGTGAGCATCTACCAGTGTGGTTAAGCAACGTACTTACTTATTTGCACCTGTTACTCCCAATGAAGCATAGGCAGCCGACCAGCATTCTCCAACTCACTCTGTCCTGATCCTTACTTTGTAGTTCTAACCAATTTTTGTTCATTCTTCTCATGTCTGTTTCCATTTCTCAGCGTAATGTGTTCTTTGATATTCCTCCCATCCCTTGACCTTGAGGATTCCGACTGGGGGCTTGCCTTGTGACGCAGTCGGATGTTTTCCTCAATGTGTATCCTATTTGTTTCCAGCGCTTCTTCCTGATTCCTTTCTCCACTGGAATCTGGTTTGTTCTCTCACATAGTAGGTTGTTGTTGATAATGTCTGGCCAATGGATCCGAAGTATTTTGCGCAAACAATTGTTATTAAACACTTGCATCTTCTGGATGATTACTTTCATAGTTCTCCAATTTTCCGCCCCATACAGTAGAACTGTTTTGACATTTGTATTGAAAATTCTGACTAGTGTTTGTTGACAGTTGTTTTGAGTTGCAGATGTTCTTCAGTTGTAGATATTCTGCTCTTGCTTTTCCGATCCGCGCCTTCACATCTGTACCAGATCCACCGTGTTCGTCAATGATTCTGCCCAAATATGTAAAGGGTTTTACATCTTCCAGATTCTTCTCCATCAGTTGTGATTGGATTGGTGTATGCTGTGTTCTATTGGAGAATCTTGCTTTTCCCTTTGTGTATGTTGATACCTATTGCTAATGAGGCTGCTGCTACACTGTTTGCCTTCTCCTGCATTTGTTGTTTTATGTGCGATAGAATAACCAGATCAACTGTGAAGTCTAGATTGTCCAGCTGTATCCTAGTTATCCACTGTATCACGTGCTTCCCCCCCCCAGATGTTGACGTCTTCATGATCCAATCGATCACCAGGAGAAAGACAAAGGGTTAGAATAAGCAACCTTACCTGACACAGGGTTTTTCTTCGAACGAGTCTGTCAGCTGTCCTACATACAAGATTTTGCGGTTCAATCCATCAAAGGAATTCCGTATGATGTTGACTATCTTGTCGGGCACTGCTTAGTGTCGAAGAAGCTTCCATAGTGTTTTTCTGTACACTGAATCGAATGCTTTCTCTTAGTCAATGAAATTGATGTAAAGTGGTAAATTCCATTTCATTGATTGTTCCACAATGATCAGTAGTGTCACGATTTGGTCGGCACACGATCGATTCATGCAGAATCCAGCTTGTTGGTCTCGAAGTTGGGCGTCTACGGAGTTCTTTATTCTGTGTAAAAACACCCTGTTTTAGGCGTTTCCCTGTATTGAAGTAAAAGTGATGCCTCCACAGTTCCCACACTCGCTGAAATCGCTGTTCTTACACATTTTCGAAATTAACGTATAGTAAATCCCCAGTGAAGTACATCTTAAAATACCTAACTTGTTTGTAAACTGTAGTGAACGAGAACAAAAGTGTAGACAATCAGATGTATTTGGGTGCAAAATTACAGAGCATCTTAGTAAAATCTAAGAACCATACAGTAAATACTTCATTTGCAAAGTGTCAATCAGTCATCTCAGACTTCATTCGTTTCACACCAAACATTCTCTGTTCTCGTTCTCGTTTCTTCGATCTTCTTAGCCTTTTGCCACCAGGCATTCCACTTTCGAATGTTTGATGCATACTACTTATTTCTGTCGACATCAGTAGAACATATCACAAACCATATTTCAAATCACCATGTTCAGAATGCGATTCTCCCCCTCAAAATGCAAAATGTTGCTTCAGGATTGGGCTGCATCTGCACCTGAACTAATTATAGGAAGTAAAATAGTTGGGCGTTTCGACCGCTTCACTTATCTGAGAAGTCTCATTAGCCCTTGTTTTCTGGTGTGTGGCGAAATCTCAACGCGGATGCAGAAGGCTGAACTGGCTTTTGCCACCTTGCGTCATTTATGGCGTAGGCAAGATATCCGTCTACCAACCAAAGGACGGGTTTACTGCGCAGCAGTTCGTTCCGCCCTACTTTGTGACAGTGAAACAGAAATTCTTTAAATGCGTAGAATAGTATTCAGAATTCGTGAGTAAAAGCAAAACTTCGAAGTAGAAGTTATCTGTTTTCACGATTACATTGTTATTGGTAAGAGTCCGAACTATCCTATTTTTAATATCCAGGACTGGATATTGGTCAATCACTGTTTTTATTTGTGGATCGTGGGCGGGTTGCTTCCATATGGCCATGTTCTTGTAAAATATTTAAAATAGATTATTTGTAGCTAACCATAGAATCCAGAACATGTGTATCGTTTTATTTAGGACTCGTCAGTTGAATATATCAGAATCCGGGCTGTGAAACCGTAACCTATGGCTTCAAACATGAGCTACCGGCTCCAGGAGTCCATTAAATTGTTCAACGAGTATGATTTTTATACAATTATATGTCAGCTTATATCAATTATACCAATGAATAAACAAAATTCAGTCCTAAATATCAACAAGGGAATAATCAAAGCCTTTACCAATAATGATAAAATTATCGTAACCGCGGGGAAAGTTAGAGACTATATCGAATAAATAGTTTTCTAGATAATATGTTAACTGTTTGTCGATAAAGTTACTTAGTTTGTACTCTAAAGCGAACATTAAAACTGGGATCTTGGTGAATCCAACTGAAGAGTCCCAAATAGACCGAAATACTTATCCAGAATTTCATTGCTAGTCACAACTTCTTTATTACATTTAAATATTTCTGTACTGTTTAGAAATACAAATAAACGATAAATACAGTCATTGAGATATCACTAATTCTGTGCAGATAGATTGTTAAATAGATAATCTCAATGACTCTTGAATAAATGTAAAAATAAATTGATAAATATAAGCCGATTCTATAACATGCGACGAATCAAAACAGATTATTCACGCGCTATCACTAAACGAGTATATAAAATATCTATGACAACGAAATATCTAACCAAACAAATTTCTTCAATAAAGAATACACAGTTGATACCAAATTAACTATGAACTTAACTGTTGGGGACGATAGATCCCCAAAAACTCATAGTTTGTAATTTTATCTTTGTGGAGCTTGTATGTAGATATGTACGTGGACATTCCTTACCACCCACGCACATAGTCGATTGATAAACGTATCGATTAAATGTTTAAATATATCAATGGCAGTCAATTGACGAACTTATCGATTAAATGTTTAAAAGCTCCATGGCATATATATACGTTTTAAATTGTGTTTGTGGTGCTCGCTTGTTTTCTGGCTGTTTGCAAAACATATTTCCCATACCAAGCTTGGACTTCCCCTTCTAGCTAGCGGGGCTGGAACACATCAATAGCTAGATTACTGGTCTTTGGTCACTGAGTCTTGTTCTTTATCGCAGATTAAGTGAACTCGTGAAGCTTCAAACCTAGCATTAACAAAACTTCATTTCAGTATATACCTAGTGAAAAACATAAACAGATTTACAAAAACTATTAAAAGTATACCAACAATATTGTCAACGTGATCTGACCTTGGTATCGATGTATATAATAGTCAGTAATCAACCATATATCCTCAATTCATTTATCCATAAGAAGAACATCTTCCTCTCTAACATTATAATTGTTTCATGAAAGTTAATAAGACATTAGATAAACAAACAGGATGTTCACAGTCCAATCAACTAATCACTTATTGAATAGCAGTCTTACATAAAGCATACAAATGTAGAATCCTTTACAGTAACAACAGGAAAATATATCTATATATACATAAATGATAAGTCAACAAAATAACACAAATTACACACTCAAAGAATTCCAGTTATTATTGACAAAACGAGGCAAATCAGTTCACTTCATAAACAACATTAAATAAACGTTATGTTATTAAAATACGCTAAATATTGATTCACTGGAATGCACTGCTGACATTCCATCACATGTTCATTAAATACGAATTTATAATCAGTTTTACGAACAACTGAATTACAATAAATAAACGAATGAGTAAATATCAATGTGCGATTTATAGAAATAAAGGGTAAATTTATTCACATAACTCAATGATTTTCACTATAAACTAATTATCATGAGAACAGATTTCATGTGTTTGTTATTCGCAATTGTTCTATACTCACTGTTATGTCTAAAAGTTAACAGTCAATCGAAACCAAACCAAGCAACACTTAATAGAACATCCGAAACAAAAGACTCAGAACAAACAAAACACAAAAATGGTCATAGCAACACGGTAACAAGAGAAGATACAAATAGACAGTCTCTAGAAGAAACGGAAGATTCACATTCAAGTAAAAATGACGATGTCGGATTCCAATCTTCACAACGAAAATTCCAACTGAAATACTCAAATCAAAAAGAAGTGATATTTATACTAGCGGTTACCAAACATTCCTCGGAAAACGTAGACGAGGCAGTAAATCACATGTGAAAACCATATTCAGAAAACGTTCTGGCTACGATCACAATGGTCGAAAGAAACGAAGTTCCATATTCGAAAGTTATGGTGAGGCAGACAGTTTCGATAGAAAGAAAATACGTGATGTGTTCGATGTGAATGGATATATTTCGGAGGGTCGAAAGCGTAGTAAACTCGGTGGATACATCCAAGAAGAACAACATGCGTTTCTATCAGGTGGACATAAGTCGCAAGTTTCTCGAAATGATAGCATATCTCTTGAGGGTAGTAGTAATTCCGTAAGCGACACACGTGATCAAATATCTCATAGTCAAGATAAAGATAGCATTAAAACGAGAGCAGAAAGTGGCCCAATGAAAACTCGAAGATGAAATAAATAAATATCTCAAATTTACACGTCCACACGTTAATGAA